ATCTATCTTCCCTGAGCTGGATAATACAGGGAGGTACTTCAGCACTTGAACGATGGGTGACTGACGCTGCCAAGCATTTCCTTCTGCCCAGATTTGCCCAGTCACTCCAGGGATGGAGAGGTTTTGTCTCCTTCCACGTCCTCAGCACGGTTATGGGTCTCCAGCCCACATGTCATGCCCTTAACAAACCAAGAAAACCTCCTGCACAATATGAAAAAGAAGAGGCTGATCCAATCCCAGATCTGACTGAGGCACCCGCTCGCTCTCCCATTGCACTGGGAGCTGCTGCGAGTGACATGTGTGGGTGCAAGGCTCTGGAGACATTCCCAGAGGTGGGGGGCAGGCAGAGAAGGTTTTACAATTGTTTTTCAAGCAGTCTTTGTTAAAACTGGTCACGGCAGGCTGCACCTCCTGCTGCCCGGGCGGTTTTGCGGTTCATTGGGCGGGCAGCAAGCAGGGAGCTGGGACGGTGAGCACAGCCCTGTGTGTTGCACCCCGCTCAGTGTGCACCCAGATAAATGCACGGGCCTGCCTTTAACCTGCTCACTGGCACGTTGCCTTTGGCAAAGTCCTCTGAGCTGGGCAGTCTAGGGCAGGCAGGTGGCCAAGAGTGACATGGCCATGGCTGAGCCATCCTGGCTCCTTTGGGCACCTCTTTGGGATAGTGGGATTTACTGCTGAAGGGGTCTTGTAGTGCCGGTGCAGGGGCAGGAGGACTCTTTTCAATGCCAGAGGAAAGCAGGAATCAATCCAGTTTTCAACAGACACGTATTTCCGTGGCATCTTTCTAGTCTCAGGGCTATTTCTTACATTCTTGGATAATGAAGTTTGGGGTTTGTTTTTCTTTTCTTTCAAGCTCAACAAAACCAATTCGATGCACTTTGAAAAGAAATTGAAAACAGGCTTCTCTGCCTCAAATTCTGCCAAGGTTCAAGCGTCCTGGGAATACAGTGTCAAGGATAACCCTCCCCCACCTCATCCCCAACTAGACTTAGAAAGTTTTATCTCCTAGCATCAAAGTTGCACAGCTCTTTACTGTGCCTTCAGAGCCTGGGCTGTGCTGTATGTCTCTCTGATGAGTGAGAATATATATTATTTACTTATTGGCATCCTGGAACAAGTAGTACCTCTCTTAAGCCTTTTTATGGGTTTTGCTTGCTGGGAAAAGGACCTAATTTCTGGCAAAGACATACTGTACTGTCAGTATGTCAGCCTGGCAAAGCAGAGCTGTACGTATGGTTTGCATTTTGGGCTGAATCGAAACCATAGCTTAAACTGCAGCATTTTCTTACAGCATTGGCTCAGAGAAAGTCTCTTTGGAAAAGTATTTACCCAGGGCTTGTAAATACAGTATTATTTATGCAATGTTTTATCACCTAGGTTATTATTAAATTTGCAATATCAGCCGCCAGAAATAACACAGAGACTGTACTTGCACCTTTTTTGTTTCTTTTTGTTGTCGATGTGGCAGGGAAACCCTGAACGGTGCTGGGGAGGGGAGCCTGAACTGGCCCTTGCCCAAGCTCACAGCCCAGGGTTTCAAATTCAGGGTGGGAAAGCAATGTAGCTCTAACTTGTGGTGCCCAAACCTGAGCTCACTGACAAGGAAGATAAAGTGGTTTCAGACAATAATGATTCCTTAACCACTTGGACTGTAAACTGACTTGGCATTAAAAACCCAACAATCGTTGTCATCCATTTGGCATACTCTGTTCTCTGGCTGTGGGTTAAAAAGGATTTTTCCTGCAGTGTTTTGAAGGTTGTCCATGTGGCTCCCACATGCATTCTCCCCCCAGGATACTGGAAGTTTTGGCAGACAGGCTTTTCAGATACCCAGAGATGGTATAAGCAACCAGAGGGTTATTATCAGCTGGATAACAAAAACAATCACCCTGAAAATCCTCCATGCTGAAGAAAAGGGTTGAGGGGGTTTTGGTGAGAGTGGGATGGGCTGTGTCTCTCCAGAAGGGTGGGACAGGGGAGGTTCTGGGAAAACACGCCTGAGAAAGCACAGATTGGGAAGGGACTTGGCTGGATGCAGATGGGAATACTGAGATTTACAGTTACCCCTATCCTTTGGGATTTATTCCATAGGTATCACTGCTGTTAATTCAGCATACTTTGAGGCCAGAGGAACAGACTGTGAGGCACTTGCAGTGATGATTTGAAAGGAATGTGGATATCAGGATACCAGGATTAGCCCTTTGTATGCCACAGAGTTATTTTACTATAGTTAAACTAGGATTTAGACATTGCACCTTCCCTAAACTCTTGCTCAGGAGGCCAGACATGGATTGCAGGTGTTTGAGAAAGAATGTGTGTCTGCACTCAGCAGAATTTGTTTGAAATTCAGGGCATGAAGGTCTTAAATAGCTGAGCTTGGATGTTGCTTGTGTCACTTGCCGTTGCCTGTGGTTCCACAGCAAATCATTATCCCATCCAAGTGGGAGAGAGCTGGGGAGGAATCAGAACCAGCCTCTTGACAGAAGTCCTGCTGCCTCTCAGGGTGCTTAGGGGTGCTTGTGCTCATCCCCTCCCCAGAAAGGCACCCAAGACAATGATTTAGCCATGTAGTTTGGTGCCTGATGTAGCTAATGCCAAGACTTGAATAACCCTGCTGGTGATCTAGGACAGGACATCCCTCTCTGGACAGGCTCACCCTGGACTAGGTCCTTTCCACTCTGGGAAGAGATAAAGCAGAGGTCCCCTGGCAGTTCCCAAAGCCCTGTAGCAGACAGCCCCTGGTTTCTGGCAGAGGCTGGTGTAAACCCTGTCTGAAAAAAGGATTCAGCCCAGCAGATATATTTTGCTGCACTACATTGTATTTCTGGGAGAGGAGCAATTAAGTGAGAGCTATAAAGCTGAATCACTCCGAGTGCACCATCAATAGCTCTTATAAACTGCATTAAATCTGCTCAGCCCTTGAAAGGGAGGCATGAAAGAAGCACCCCTATGGCTGAGGCCAGTGAGTCAGTGGCTCCTCTTACCCACCTCAGCTGATGTAGTGTCTTTGCAAGGGATGTGGCTCCTCACCAGGGGGCTGTCTGAAGCAGTCTCCCCAAGATGAGGACATGAAACCTGAAGGATTTTAGAATAGTGCTGTGTCAGCTCATAAGCTCATGCACTGGGGTCGCCTGGGGCAGCTGCCTGTGGGGCAGGAGTTGTGCTGGTGGTGGGTTCCTGTGGTCAGTGGGAGCCTGTGGTCCTAAAAGCCCATGGCTGGAAATGCTTTTGCTTGCCCAGCTGCTTTCTGGAAGTAATTCTGGCTGCTGGCTCTCACCTCCCCAGCTTTTTAGCTCTTTTTTTCAAAATTTTCCTCTTATAAACAGTCTCTTATCCCTTCTTTGGCAATATATTGTCCTGCTGTGTCTGTCATGGATATGTTTGTGCTTCCAAAATAAATAATTGTAAAAAAATGTATCCACTTGACCATTGCCTTGACTTCCAATGTGGGTTTGAGCTGCTTGGAAATGCCTGTTGAAAGCAGAGAAATAGCACTAAGATGCTTTTTCTGGCTCCAGCCTCCTGAAGTGTGTGAGGCTGCCCAAACCTGAGTGAACAAGGCATGGGTGCAGCATGGTCTGAGGACTGGATTGGCTTGGAGAATGTCACAGTGCTGCCCCACCACTGCCCTCTGCTTCAGCCTAAATGGGAATGTTCTGTGCTTAGGGCAGCCCCAGCTGTTTAAAGGCAGTTCCTTAGTGCTGGGAATCAGAATACTTTAGGTTTCGCATATAGCATAGATTGTATCATGGACTCATAGAAGGGTTTGGGTTGGAGAGAACTTTAAAGATATCCAATTTGAACCTACCTGTCATGGCAAGGACACTTTCCACTAGACCAGGCTGCTCTGAGTTTCATCCAATCTGGCCTTGAACACTGCAGGGATGGGGCATCCACAGCTTATCTGAGCAACTTGTTCTAATGCCTCAACACTCTCACAGTTAAGAATTTTTTCCTAATATCTAATCTAAACCACTGTTTCAGTTTAAAGTCCTTTTTCTTTGTCTTGTCACTTCATATCCTTGTGAAAAATCCCTCTCCAGCTCTCTTGTAGGCCCCTTTAGGCACAGGAAAGTGCTGTAAGTTCTCCCCAGAGCCTTCTCTTCTCCAGTCTGAACAACCCCAGTTCTCCCAGTCTGTCTTCACAGGAGAGGTGTTCCAGCCCTTCAAGAGTTTGCATCCTTTTTTTAAAAAACAGCCTGCCATAGGTTCTGACGGAGAATTTGAGCTGCCTTGTTTTGCTGGATACAGCAATGGGCAGAGCTCCAGAGGCCTTGTCTCAGCATTGAGAATTGAGATATTCAAGTTATGGGTTCAGTGTGCAACCAGAATAGGAACCGGTGAGGGTGTCCAGAGTCAAGTCTGAAAAACAAAACCTCTTAGGAACTGGAAAGTGTTCACAGCTAGACAGGAATTTACTCTGGTTTTGGTCTTCTTTTTTTTTTTTTTTTTTCATTTCTTGAGTCTTTAAAGTGAAATATTTGACCATGAAAAATTCACTGCCCATAAGGTCAGTCTGTACCTCAGCGCTGCAGACGTGGCAACCTCTGTGTGGGGAGCGAGCCCTTGCTCTGATTTGCTTCTGAAGGGACCGCAGCTAATTTCTGGCACAAATCAGGGCACCAGCCATAACCCTCCTCCTACAGTGCTGTGGAGGCAGCCAGTCCTTGGGGAGTACTTCTTGCAGGGCTCACACAAGCACAGGGGCTGCTTCTCTGAACCAAACCCTACCGAGGGCTCTGCCTGCAGCAGCGCTCCAGCATCATCCCTCCCTTCTGTCCCCGCAGGTGCAGCGCCCATGGCGACGGACGGGGATGAAGGCCCCAGCCCCAGCAGCCGTGGGGGTGCTGCTGGCCCTGGCCCTGCTGGCTCTCACCCACCTGCCCCCGCCGCAGGAACACTCCCTGCTCCCGCTGCCGGCCTCGTCCCTGCCAGGGCCCCCGAGGGAAGTGGCTGCCCCGCTGTCTGGAGGACAAGCCTACGGGAAAAGGCTCCCCATGGCCCGCACTCACCTGCGGCAGGAGCAGGCCCCGGGCCGGGGCAGGCGGCGGGGGGTGAGGAGGAACACTCCCCCGTGGCTCTCTGCTGACGACCTCCAGAAGATGTGGCTGCTGTCCACTGGGCAGGTGGTCTCCAAAACCCGTGTCCCTGCCCACGGGCAAATCATGCGAGTGGGGCTGCGAGCCGTGGGGGATGCCAAGGGGGATGCCAAGGGGGACGTCTCGCCAGCCAGCCCAGAAGGAGACTGCCAGGATGGGCGCTGTGGGCTCATCAAGCGCCCTGGGGACCTGTACGAGGTGCTGGCCTTCCACCTGGACAGGGTGCTGGGGCTGAACCGCAGCCTGCCCGCCGTGGCCCGGCGCTTCACCAGCCGCATCCTGCCCTACAGCTACACCGACGGCGCCCTGCGCCCCATCATCTGGTGGGACCCTGACCTCCAGCACCTGGAGGATGCCAACAACGACCAGAACTCGTGTGCCCTGGGATGGCTGCAGTACCAGGAGATGCTGCAGCCCCACAGACCGGTGCTGGTGGCCAGGGACACTCCCTGCTCCAGCATCCCACCCAGCGAGTGGAGCCGCCTGGCTCTCTTTGACTTTCTGCTCCAGGTAGGGCTGTGGTGATTGAGGCCACCTGTCCCATCAGCTGTGGCACCCAGGTTCCCCTGCACCTGCACCTGTATTGTCTGACCATGGTCTGCTTCTGCTCTGAGGGGTCACACAGGCTGTGTGGGTTTCTTGGGATGTAATTTCCCTCGTCAGCTGTTGGAGAGCAGCAGAACTTCATGCAGAAGCACTTTGGCCTGAGTACGGTCCATGTTTGGGACTTGCAGGGGAAACACAGCCAGGTTGTGGTGAGTCTGTCCTCACATGGGTGAGCTTTCTGCTGTTCATTTTGTGCTGGCAGAGGCTTGGGGCATCCCTAGAGACATCCCTAGGGCATCTCTAGGGATAAACAGCATGTTTTGCATCAGCTCCATCACATCCAAATTCAGGGATGTGCTGCTTGCACTGGAAATAAGGAGCCCTGCCTTGGACAGCACTGTCTTCCTCCTCTTCGGCATTAATAGCACTTAATCTTCTGTCTGGAAAATCATACCCTGCTGCTACAAGGGATTACAGCAGTATCCCAGAGAGTTATCAGGTCTTGGAGGGCAGCTGTGAGGAGGGAAAAGTGATTTGTGTGGAGAAAAAGAAAGCCTGCTTAGGCACCTGGGGGCTGGTTATCAGACAAGAGAAAACTGCCTGAAAGGACAAGTATTAATACAAAAAAAAAAAAAGAAAGGAAAAAACTCCAAACTACTAAAATATGTTTTCCTTATTCTTTCTCTTTTTTTTTACAACTATGGCTGTCAAAGGTGGAGCAGTTCTGGCTGAGCTCCAAAATATTTTAGCTGAAACAACCAGAGAGATGAGAAGATTAACCAATCCCCTTCCCTTCCCCGGGCCAAAATACCGCTGAGTGCAGTGGAAAGGCTGAGACTGCAGGATAAAGTATCAAGTTCTAAGGAGAGTTTTTCCTCAAGGGCTGAAGCAGTGCAATAACAAATTCAAGGGCAAGCCACAGGTTCTCCTCACTAATTCTAATGGAATCCTCCCATGCAGAAAAGTCACATAAAGGTAAAGAGGATATTATAGAAGTGGAGTAGCATCTTTCAGAAATGGCTTTAGCATCTCACACCCTTGCTGGGGAAGAAGTTGTGAGACTTGAGTCCTGTTGTACATTTGCATTGAAATCTTGGTAGTTTTCTTCAATTTCTCTTAAAATTTGGCTTCATCTATGTTAATTTCTCTTCATATCTGCCAGAAGGGAACCCCCCACTATGTGCAAAGTTTTAGTGGGGCCAAAATGCTGAGCCTGGTAGAAAAGGGGCAGCTGCTGATGGCTTTGTCCTGCACTTTAGAGAGGACCAAAACCAAATTGATTCTGCAGCCACATCCCTGCCCTGGGACATCCTCTTCCCAGCCAGAGAGAGAGCAAGGAAACTTTCTCTAGGGGAAGCCATCCCAGACTGAATCATAACTGGAAAAACCTATCAGATGCAAGGGGATGCCCTGCTTGGATGCCCAGGATGGGCGTAAGAGGGGCTGAAGGTGAGCTTCTGGTAGTGTTTGAGCTTGGATGGGAAGTGTGGCTCATGTATTTGTGTTCTAGCAATAATACCAAACTTCTGATGAATTAGAGCTCTATAAGCTCTGGAAACAATAAATTAATATCAAAAAATCAGGGGAGGGCCAGGGGAGAGAGGGCTTGTCAGGGCACTCTCAGCATCTCCACAGCCATCTGGTCCCTCTCCCAGTGCTCCACTTGGGCACCAGATCTGCCTCCACCTCACACCTCTGTGGGTTCAGCACCAATCCACCTTGGTTTCACAGGTGCTCGTGGGCGGGTGAGTGGAGTGCTGAGCCTATTTAATGTCTCTGTAAGTTCTCTCAGGTTGTCTTCACCTTCTGTGCAGCCTGCAAAATAACATAGCAGGTGAGAGAAACTGGCTTGCTGAGCTCTCCAGTAGGCAGACTGAGGAGGTCTGTGGAGGAAATGTGATATTTTGTTCTGTTTCCATGTGTTTTGTGACAAGATGCTCAAGCACTTTTTAACCAGAGTGTCTCCCAGTGGAGAAATACTGACCTGAGTGCTTCATTAAACCTCAGAAAACAGAGAGGTTTAAGGGCCTCCAGTGTGGGACTAATCCTTCTTTTCAAAGGGTTATTAATGGAATGGCCGTGGAGATCACAATTCGTGTTTCTCTGCAGCATCTTCTCCAGTGCTTGGTCAGTGTTTGGGTTCAGACTGAACTCTTTGTCAAAGCACAGCTGTAATTGGTAACTTGTGCTAATTACCAGGGTGAAGGGAATAGGCAGACTCTGTGGGTCACTTGGCTTCTGACTCGTTGTCACCTGTAGGTCCCTTCTGGCTCACCTGAGATCTGCTCCAGCCCTCCCAGTGGCTCCAGGAGCCTCTCTGCACCCCAAGCCCTGACTCCTGGGCTGGCACCAGCAATGCTGAACAAATCAGAAAGTTAGACATTTTTGCAACCTTGCAACCAGAAAATATAGTTATTTTATCCATATTTTTATATATTTCACATGTATTTAAAGGAGTATTATATATATATATATATATATATATATATATATATATGGGGTTCTTTTTGTAAACAGGGCTTGAGATCAGGAGGAGGTGAGGCAGCTCCCCTACGGGGTCATGTCAACACACAGCCATGGGGAGGTCTGTTGACAGCCAATGAGGTGCTGTCTGCCCCACAAATCGCCCCAGAGGATGTACCAGCTGCTTCTGACAAAGCTGAGGAAGCTCCATAAATACTGAGGCTGGGTTTGACAGAGATTTATGTCTTTTTAAAGCCCTTCATTCCTCCAAGGGTGTGGTTGAAACACTGGAAGTTGTGAAGCAGCTCCAGGGTTTCTGCAGGGAACTGGGATGGGAAGCAGGAGGTTTGACAGCCTGGACAACATGGAGCCTTAGCAGCACCTGCAAATGATTAAGCACAAATGTAGCTAAAACAAGTCACCATGGCCCAACTTAAATGTCAGGCATGCTCTGCGTATGCACAGACCGCTTTTTCCCTTGCCAATACTTTTCCATTCATCTTTCCATTGAGAGCTGCTCAGGTTACCATAGGGATGGATGAAAGGTTGCATATGTGACAGGAACCAGATGAAACCATCATACAGAGCACTGAGACTCAGAAAAATAAATTCTTTTTGAGGTTTCAGCCTCTGGGTTTCCTTGGGTACTTTTGGGTTTGTTTTTTGTTTTTTTGTTTTTTTTTTTAATTAATTCCTCATCATGTGTGTCTTCCCTTCATTTCAGCTGGAAGCACAACCCCTTCACTTTGTGCAGATTCAGAATGTGGAGGTACCAGGTATCTGAACTCCATCAGAAAAGCCTGTCACCATCACCTTTGTCATCACCTTCTTAATGCCAAAGGGGTTTTGCATGTGTACTTCCATTCCTCTCACTCACCAGTGTATGCAGCTTTTCCATTGCACGTCTCCTGAGGATCCCTAGAAATGTTTTATTTTCCTCTGTACAAGAACAGCTCACACCAGTGCCTCCCCACCCCAGGCACATGCCCCTGCTAAGGTTCCCAAATGCCTCCTGCAGGTTCATGACCGCCTGGACCGCTACTGCTGTGGGTTTCAGCCTGATCCCTCTGAGCCCTGCGTGGAGGAGATGCTTCACGAGAAGTGCCGGAATCCAGCAGAGCTGGTCCTGGTCCACATCCTGGTATGTCTTCCTGCTGTCCAAGGGCTGCTCTGGAGCTAACATGAAGATGCCTGCGAGGCACTTACAAGACTGAAGTGGTAGCAAAGGGAATCTAGGGTCCCATGGTGATGCTGGGTCCTTGGTGGGAGGTGTGCCTGGGCATGGAGGGACATAGACATTGGCATCTGCTTTCCCCCAAATACTCTCAGGCTTTCTCGCTGCATTAAAAGCAGCCTAAACTCCCACACTGGTGACTGCACTGAGTAAATTTTTCCTTCCCATCCTGCTGGCAGGTCCGGAGGAGTGCGCCGTCCCGCCTGGTGTTCATTGACAATGCGGGCAGGCCACAGCACCCTGAGGAGAAGCTCAACTTCAGGCTCCTGCAAGGCATAGACAGGTAGGAATGTGCATATGCTGAGCAAGGCTGAGCCGGCACACGGGATGTCCAGCAGCCCTGTGTGTGCTCACTTTCTTGCTGCTCCTGGCCTCCCTGATGGGGCATCCCTGTGAATCAGGGCTGTCTCCCACCCAGGACAGGGTGGGTGGCTAGGCTCACAAAAACATCCCACGTGCCCCTGCCCTGAAACTATCTCTTTATTCTGCTTTGGGTAGCTGATGGCAGGCTCCAAAGCCTACTTCCCCTCTTTAATTGGCAGCTGCACAAAAATAATGAATAATCAGGTATTTCAGCATTTCTTGCGCCATTGCCCACGAGGCATTTTGGCATGCTAGAGGCCTCTTGATTTGGAATTCGTTTGGGTCTGTGTCTGATGGAGCTATCCTGCATACTCACCATGGGTAGAGTTTTAAGCAGAAGGCTCTTGGTCCTGCATTCCTCTGGGTAGACGTGCATTTCCTCTTGAAGCATCTTTGCTCGAGTGCCCCGCTGCTCCCTTTCTCTCTGCTCAGCGTTCCCTGGATAACCCCTTCCCTCCCTGTCTCTTCTGCTCCTCCGCTGCAGCTTCCCAGCGGCAGTGGTGGCCACGCTGCGGTCGGGCAGGTTGCAGAGCCTGCTGCTGGAGTCCCTGCGCCTGGACCGGGAGCTCTGGGAGAGCCAGGGTGGCGCCGAGGGGTTGAGACCGCTGCTCCAGACCATTGACAGGCGGGCACAAATCCTGCTCCGCCACATCCAAGAGCACAACCTGACGGTGTTTGAGGACTCGCTGCGCTGAACCGACCTCTGGCTGGCTCACAGCACCTGCCTTGCACATCCCAGCAGCCATGGATGTACCTCATGCCCTCGGCATGGACGTTAGGAGGCTCTGTCCTGGTGCTTGGCTCTCCACAAGGTGTTTCCCCTCATCTTGTAGGATGATCTGGAGAAGCAGATGGAATCACAGGGAGTAGGAAAGATGGGGAGGAGATGTCTCCTAAGACAACACAGAGCTGCTTGAGAAAGGCAGCAGTCATCAAGTTACAGTCTCAGCATGGATTTTCAAAGGAAGGGCACATCTGTGAGGTTTGTTGGGTGCCTTTACTCACACACATAACAACTGTGAAAACTGAAGGCTTGGACAGTTGGACAGCTGTCAGGGACCCTGAAAATACTTAAAGAAGCAGTGGAAGAAGTCACTGGCACCCCTTCAATGTCTTGTACTGGGCTTTTTGATGTTGCCTTCACTATTTACAAAACATCCCAGACAGAGAGGCAAGGGGAAAGCAGAGGGGAGCTTTCTAAGTGGATTAAACAAAGACACTGGAGCTGAGCTCTGCCTTTCCCTCTGCAGAAGAGGTGATGTGTGCCTCGGAGTGAGTGTGAGCCACTGCCTGAAGCTGAGACTAGGCAGGACCTTGGAGCTCAGCAGCACTGGGCAGCAGCTGCCCTCATGGAGCCCATGGTACCATCCCCAGTTAGAGCCAGTGCTGTGTGCCACATGCCATGATCCATGCACGTGCCTCAGGGGGCCTGGGCTGCTGCCAATGCTATCAGTGTCGGATTGGAAGATTCAAATCTCTCGTTCACTCTTTCCCTTCACTGTCAGGGGATTAAAGGCAAAACTACCCCACTTTTGAAAAGCACTCCTGGCTGCTCTCTTTGGGAATGACTGCATGTAACTCTTCCCCAGGCTTGCAGAAATACATTTTAACAAAAATGCCAGGCTATTTTAGCAGAAGGCAGTCGAGCGCAAAATGCTTTCTGAGCACGCTGGCGCCTCCAGCAGAGCCCATCCTGTTCCTGTCACCCCTCAGGCTCTTGCCCAGCAGCCCACTCTGATGAAGCACAGCAGCATCCCAGCTAGGCAAGTCCTCAAGTGTCAGGGGTGAGACATAATTCAAAACCAAAATGAACAGGAGGAAAAAAGATGCAGGGATGGGCTTCATCATTCCCTGCAGTGTGTTTCCCAGCTGAGGCATGTGGTCAGTGTTTGCCTGGAGCAGTCAGTTCTTGGCCTGTGAGTTTATGGGTCACACCAGAAGGCTTTTTAAATGCCTCCATTCCTCCAGTGTTACAGACAGAGCATCCATGCTTCAGGCACTCCAATTCACTTGTGCCTTTGGAAAGTTTCAGTGAGGCTGGCATGGGTAGCCAGCTGCACCATGGTGCAGCTGTCCCATTGCAATAGCTTTGGAGAACACAGCTCCAAAATGCAGTAGGAGGGGAAAAGCTGGCTATGGATACCTTCCCCGCTCCATCCTTCTCAGCACTATGGCAGTTTGAGAGCCTGCAAGGGGATGCTTTAACACCCATGTAGATAAGCACAGGCAATTACCTTTTTTCCCCTTTTCCCTCTTGCTGAAGAGAGGATGAAGTGAGACGTGGGTGACATGAATCAACAAGCAAGCACAAGTGCTGTCAGGAAGCATCAGCACTCAACATCACAGGCACAGCAGCATCCAAAGTGCCATCATCTTATTCCTGGAGTCCTGCCCTCCAATTAGCCAGGGAGAGCCTTTCCCCCAGCACTCTCTCCACCCTGTGAATTATCACCCCATTTGCTGTGCCATGAGATGGATGACGGTCATGGAAACCCTGCTAAAGCTTGAATCGTGGGGATTTATTATTGGGAGGTGAGCTTAGCTTGTAAGCTTGAAAGAGAACAAAATAACTCATCCTGGGTCCTATGAAAAGCCGTACCCAGGCACGGCTGTATAAGAGTAAAGGATACTAAATGTAGCATAAATCCAAAAAATACTCTGGGAAAAACTGTGATGTAACAAGTGGATAGGCTATGATGTACAGCATCAGTCAGAGTCTTGCTTTTTCTCATTAAAGTGAGAAATTTCATTAAAGAAGATGTTTTCTTCCCATGTTCTCAGCGAGAATCAAGAGACAGGTGGGGGCTCTGCACATTGGCCAAAGCTGTGGACATTGCTGAGCTGGACCAGCAGCTTTTGCCTTGCCTCTGGTCGCATCTGCTTGACCTTAACGTTGCACAAGGTAGTGGGGCTTTTTTGCATTTCTTTAGTTGTAACATGAGTTTGCTGGCTAAACACATGTGGGAACATCTGTAAGCAGTTACACATGTGAATAAAAATCCCTCATGATTTACCAAAGAGCCATGTATGGATAAATGAGAGAAGCAAAAGCCAAGATCTTGCTGAGACTGATCCTGAATCTTCTCTAATAGTCTATTTTCCCATGGGCTTGCCTATGTAACCAGCACAGGCTCTGAACTGTGGTCATGGCTGTTCAGAGGAATCCTGTGGACTGTTTGCGCCAGCCTTTACCGTGTTGGGTTGGGTTTGTCCCAGCTATCAACATTTTGTATTTCCTATGACAAACTTATTTTTATGTTTATGACTACTATATAGTTATAAATATTCATGTGGGGCCATGCTTGACAAACTAGATTTCATCTGAGCAGGGATGCTGTTTTACCAAACTCTACTGCACATCATCCCAGATCGTGTTGGGGTGTGGTTGCAAAACAAGATGGTCCAAGCTGGCTGCAGGATGGCTTTGTCTTTAAGAAAGCAGTAGCAACAACTAAGCAAGGGAAAAAGCAGTAGAGAGACAGGGGCTCCTTGACTGGGGGGAATCCCTGCGGCACCCTCCTGCTCACCCTCGGCACCCTGGAACGAGAACAGCATTTGGGAGTGTGGTATGCACCTCCACAGAGCTCCACCAGGAGGGAACTGCTTCGTTCTGCAGTGGTTCGAGTGACATGATCTGTGTTTAGCAGCTCTCTGGATGTGCCCAGCCTTTCAGCTGGCAGAAAATAGGGCTGGGGGTCGGAGGGTAGGGGCCAGATTGGCTCCAACCTGCCAAGCGCACGCACTCACACATACAAACACGCACCGTGTCACTGCTCCTGTTCAGCCTGATCTTAACCCCCCAAAGCTGGTGATCCCCAGGCATCCCCAGCAGCCTGCTCCAGTGCTTTGCTGGCCTCACCTTCCGTAAACTAAATGCCCATTTGCTGCATTCAAGGGCCACTTCTTGAGCTGGACACAGGACACTAAGTAGTCTTTTCTGCAGCCCCGTGTGGACCTCGCAGAGCAGCCCCAGCACTCACTGAACCCACCCGGTGTCCAGGGGTGACACCAGTGGGGTGGCACTCGGCTGTGAGGTGATGACCCACCCTTGAGCTTCCTTCCCCTTAAGGATGGGTTGTCACAGGTGCCGCTCAGAGACCCCACAGGGTTCTCTGCTAAACCCACCCAAGCATCCCTATTCTGCACAGGGGCAGTGTGGGCTGACAGCTGCCTGAAAGGCAAGAGCTAGCAAGTAAATCCAAATTCATTGTTAAATCTCTGGATATAAAAATAATCTGGCTTTTAGAAAACAATTTATTTATGCTTTCAGTACTTACTTAAATATTTATGTGAAAAAGGGAAAGAAAAGTCTGCTCTGACATAGGACTATTGTTGTAGCAACGGTCTTTGAGATTAATGGAAGTAAATTAGCCTGATGTTTTATTTACATCCAGAAAAGCAATAGATAAACTCTCCTTGTGATGGATTTTCTTCATTAGCTGGGCGAACGCCTAAGGTACAGCTCTTGACTTTGTTTCTTCCGTGTGGTTAGACAAACAGTTTATCAAAAGAGTATAAAATTGTCAGGAAAAGAAGCAGATTAATGGCCAGTAAAATGAAAGTCATTGAATTTATGATATAAGTAGCAGTATCACTGGAGCTTAAGAAATGGCTTATTAGATAACCACCATGTACACACACAGGGAAGTGCTGAGCCCTTCTGGATCTGCCTCATTGTCAGTGGCTGCTTCCCAAATCCCAGAGGGGTGATCTCCACACTGAAGCTTCACTTCCCTTCTCCTTCCCTCCAAACCCCCTTAAGTCTGGGTTTATTCTGTAACTCTCATTTGAGCTTGTGAACATATGATTTCCTCCCAATTAAAAACCCCTAAGACTTCAGAGAGGATAACCTTGTCTTCGTGTCTGTGCTGCTGTAACCATTTCTGCAACCTATTTTGGCAATTTTGGCTGCTTTTACACCAGTGATAATCATTCTAATATAAGCAATAATGTACAGGTCTTATGATTCTTTGTAAAAAATCTCCCAGAGTCAGCAGCTTATGGATCCCATATGGCTCCTGCAGCAATTACCTCTGGAAGGATAATTACCTGGCAGATAAGGCAGGTGGAAGAGAGGAGACAGGGAACCTGGGAGAAACTAAACATTCCCGGGGATGGCAGAGGGGCTGTGTTTATGGGTTCACGATGTCTCTGCCCTGCCAGACATGGGCTCACATTTTCAAGCTTTAGAAGAGGGATTTTGGGTACAAGGATGACTAAAAACCATGAATTTAACTGGTGCCATGAATCTTTGTGTCCGAGTGCTGTCTCCAGCAGGTGGCATTGGCTCGACAGGCTGTCTTTTCCCAGTGCTTGCCAAGAGCGTCTTAAAAGTTTCATCTCTGGACTGGCAGATTTCAAGCTGCTAAAGCATCATTAATTCCCTAATTCCTTTGCAGCCTAATCCGCCCAGCTGTGCTTTATATCTCTTCACCAGCACCACCTTCCTCCCCCTGCCCCCCATTATTCTCTTTCCAACAAAAATCTAGATTTATGGAAGCAGAGTGTTACTTCATGCTGGAAGCAAGACAGAGCAAGTGGCTGCTTGAAGAACAAAATGCCACAGCCCCCACTTCCCACCCTAGTGTGGACCCAGATGTGGACCCAGGTGCACAGGATTTTTGGACTGATCTCAAATGGTGGTCAAGTCCAGGAGTTTTTCCCTAGAGCTATTTTAGATAGCTGCTGCTTTGGT